AGCTTCAGAAAGAGAACACCTACGAGGCTGTGTGGGACAGCTCGGGGAGGAGAGGCCCTTGAAGTGGGGCTCTGGAAATATGGGGTGAGGGACCTCAAGAGGCAGAGGGCACTGGAAACTAGGGTGGTGCTTTGTGACATCAATGGGGGGTGTCCCTCTGCTTCCAACAGGACGGGGCTCTACGAGCAGCAGAGGGCTGGGCACGCATGGTGCGGAGGTGTGAGGGCCGATGCCCACAGGACGCACAAGAGCTGTTGGTGGCCCGGGTAGATCACGCCACAGGTGCCGTGTGGAGTGGACCGACTATGCACACAGATAGGAGGAGGGGAGAAGTCGGCTCCGAGACGAGGAAGGGACAGTGGAAACAGCACAGGCCCTTGTCCTTGGTGATGGTGACACGTAATCACATGACCACTGTTCTGGAACTTTCTGGGACAGACTGAATTCAAACTTTCAAAACCACTTCAGGGACATGTAGCTTGTACCAAAACCAAACAACCAAACTCACTGCCATCGAGTTGATTCTGACTCATAGCGACCCCACTGGGTTTCCGAGGCGGCAAATCTTAACGGAAGCAGACTGCCTGATCTTTCTTTCACGGAGCGGCTGGTGGATTGGAACCGCCAACCTTCTGGTTAGCACTCAAATGCCTTAGGCACTGCGCCACCAGAGATCCTCTGTAGTTTGTACGGACTTTGAAGCACCTCATCTCAGGTAACATCGTTGTCTATGACACTGGACTTTCACTAAAGTCGACTCTCATACTGTAGTTTTCTGAGACCTCACAGCACTCGATTCACTCTTTCAAACAATAAAATAGTGAATTATCCATCCGCATTTTTTATTTAAGGAGCTCTGGTGGCACAGTGGGTCAGGCACTTGGCAGACTGACAGCCTTGAAAAGCCCATGTGGGTCGCTATGAGTTGGAATCCATTCAGCGGCGGTGGGTTTGTTTTTCTGGTTTATTTTTATTGGGAACCAGTGCCCTAAGATCTGTGAGGGAGGAATGATGGCTGATGAGGTCCGACCTGAGCCTGTGGGTCAAGAGCAGGGCCACAGGTGAAAGGGAGGGGAACAAGGCCTTCTGGCCTGGGCATGTTTTACACCCAACTTTAAAACTTGTCAGACTGCTTATCGTGAAATTAACTGTCATTTTCCACTATAGGTCATTATTTTATTGCCCTAAAATAATGGCAAATATTGGTCACTTTGAGGAGAGAAAACCCAAATCCAAATGCCAGCATTTTGTTCCTTGTACTTACAGCTACAGGAAATAAAACGTTTGACTAAACACTGAAGGGGCGCAGAGGGAAGGACGAGCACTGTGGTGGCACGGAGAGATGGCCGGCAGTTTTCACGACCATGCAACTGACCAGCAAGACCCTCACGAGGTAACAAATTGCCTGGGGGCCCGGCCCCAAGATCCAGGTCACAGAGTGGATCGGGCTCCTGTCACCTGCCAGCCAGATACTCACGTGTGGGGCAGTGAGGAGGGGCGAGCTGGAGAGGGAGGAGGGTGCCCGCGTCCCGGCCCGGGCAGGGCTGGCGGTCTGCGGCAGGCTGAAGGGGTGCAGGCGTGGGCTGGGGCTCAGGCTGCCCTCCGAGTCACTGCTCTGGCTGCTGGGTGGGGTTGGCGGCAGGTGCAGGTGGTCCGCAGAGGCTGGGAACAAGAAAGTGGGTCTGTGCGTGAAACAGTGACACAGAGGCACCTCGCTGCTGTCAGCTGCCCCCAACTCACGGCGACCCCACAAACAACAGAACAAAACGCTGCCCAGTCCTGCACCCCCCCTCCCCCACCGATGGCCTACAGACGGCACCGTC